GGAGGAACAAAAGTTAATGTCTGTACTGGAGGACTTAGCCAAGACGTTTCAGTCACACTAAGTAGGCAGGAGACCAGTACAACACTAACGCAACAAGTTTACACCGACTGAGGCTGGGCTCAGATTTTTCTTTTTCTTTTTTTTAAACAGAACAGATAAAGTTCCCCAGGTGTTGGAGCAAGAATGAATCTTCAGTGCCCATTAAAAGTGGCAGTGCTATCTGTAGCCGCTAGTTTTAAGTAGGAGTGTGAGTGCTAAGATGTGTTTGGGAATCCCAGCCTCATAATGCCAAACTAAAGTCACAGATGATGAAGGGATTAGCGAGATTTGTAATGCTTTATTACTACTTGAATAAAGAAGCTTTTTTATGTCTTTTGGACTTCATAAGAACTAAACACTTTATTGTAGAAGTGTTTGATAGTGATGTCTTTATAAGTGAGTTATTGTGTCGATTTGGAGATCCCTCATAAAGCACAGACAGCACAACCTGTCACTGAGACTTTATTAAAGTTGTCGATCAGATGGGAATCTGATGGGACCAAAGTCACACACGACCAGCCACGGGTTCAGTGTCCTGCTTGTGTTCTGATGACTTACAAACGTAAGCATGTGTGTTTGAAAGCTCTGTAAGTAACCTGTGTATTTGCTTTACTGTAGTGTAGTTTTTGTAATGTTCAGGCTGAACCCAGACTGGTATTGTGCTGTACTCTTTATGAGCTTAGACACAGTGCAGCAGCATCACTTGACACATGCAATAAAATCTGTAGATTTATATTTGGTGATATCTGCCGAGCACCTTAAAAAGAAAAAAAAGAAAAAAAACCCCAAAAAAACCCCTAAAACAAACAAACAGTGTTTTACTTACTGTGACTGCACTTGACTTTCTTGTAAATGCTTGCTTGAATAAAGAACAGCAGTGCTCGTTTTCTGTGAGTTTGTTCAACAGTTCTTACAAGTGGAAAGAAAAAAACCCAACAACCCACAGTCAAAGAAAGATATCAAATATTTTATTGGGCATCATATTTTTCTCTCTGTGCTCTGGCCAGAGGGGACAGAGAGACCAAAGTCAGCTCCGTATTGTCAACAGTATTTCAAAATACAGTTATCTGGAGATATTAACATCTTGTTTGGAACAGCAAGTGTCTTTTACAAGCAGTTGAAAGAGGAAAAAGTCAAGACAGAAATCAGCTTACAGAGTTTGATATTATGGGCGGTGGTGTTGTGGAATATGAGTCACGTTTTACATGTTAAAGTGGCCTCTCATCCATTTTAGTGTTTGCTGAACTAAAAACAACAAAAATGACTCCTGTTCAAGACTGTGAAAGAAAAGGAACTAAGACATTAACCACAGGATGAAAAACAAAAAAACAGCTTGCTTCTGGCACTGGCAGACAATGTTGAAGATCTACTTTGTTCGCCATTTCTGCAAACAAAGAATCCAGGAGTTTCTCATACTATTAACACCCATCTGCCGTGCCTCTGACAGAAGACATGATAAGAATTAATGACTGGAGGAGACTCTAATGAAAGGAGAGCACTGACTCCTAATTGTACAGCAGCAGGACCATCAACCCTGTTGATCCCTAATGAATCATGGTGGTGTGTTTTTTTTCCCCTAACAATACTTTGGGGTAGGACTGAAAGAACAGTCTGCCAACACTGACCAACTGCTCATCAGCCAGTTGCTGTTGCCCATTTCTGATACCACAGAGGCTCAGATAACAACAACAACAGCCTTGGAAATAAGTGAATACACGTTTAAGCTGCACTGAGGTTATCACATTAATAATGACTCAATTACAAGCAGAAAAACCCTAAGACTGAAAAAAAGGAAGCCAGTTCTTCAAATGGTTACTTGAGGCAGGCTCTGTCCTCACAGACCCCCGTGAAGGAATGGACAACTTTACAGCAGAAATAAACATCTGGTCTCTATAGCTATTTTCTGCAGTTGTGACAAAAGTTAGGGTAATTTTCTTCAGCCCCCCTCCCCCCTTTTTTTTTTGTTTAAATCAGCGGTCCCCAACCCCCGGGCCTCGGACTGGTACCGGGCCGTGAGAATTGAGGCTCAGGTGTGAAATGTATGGTTTTCAGGGTTTTTATCGGTTTTCAGCGTTATTTTGTTATCGTTTTTATCGTTAACTCTGTTTTCCTGGGTCTTTTCACGTGTGTTATGAATAACTCTTCTATTTTTCAGTACCGGTACAAGTTTTATTTTGTTGTATTTATCCGCGACACCTTAAAGGCCGGTCCGTAAAAATATTGTCGGGCATAAACCGGTCCGTGGCGCAAAAACGGTTGGGGACCGCTGGTTTAAATTACATTTGGGCATAAAGTTTGGATTGTACTGTCAGCAACATGCCAGTGTTGTTCACTTTTCATTCTGGTGTGAAAGTAAAACAAATAAATCAGTGGCCCTGAGAGGTCAAAAGGCACAGCAACCTAAGAAAACACCGGAAAAGCGGAAAACACTGCAAAAGCACACAAAATACAACAGAAAAAAAAACAAAAAAAACCAACGTGCAAAAGGTTAAAAAAAAAAAAAATCAATAGAAAACCAACCTCAAAAAACTAAAGAAACGCAACAAAAGTGTTTTTGGGGAGACGGACCAGCTGTGGAGGTGACAAACTAACAGTAAACAGCTAAAAGCAAACATGCATCTACAGTATTTTATGAATATGTGATTAAAACACATACTACCCCTCATCTTTTTCCTCAGGTCACAGATAAACCCTTTGTTTCTTTTAAGCGTCTCTCAGAACAAACCTTTTACTTCCGCAGCTGTTCCATCACAATACTGTGTCCCTAAAAACATTTCGTTTTTGTTCAGTTTTGTGAGATTCTCCCCCCCAAAAAAAGACTTCCATTGACTTGTGTGTGATTTTTTAATTTTTCTATTGGTCCTAAATGTCAAATAGACATTTTACTATTTGCTGGTGTTTCCTTAAGTATATGTGTTTGACCTCTCAGGTCAAACGTAGTTTTAAAACTTAAAACTTTTAACTTTGGACTCTTCTCCTCTCAGCTTGGCTCCTGCCAGTTACAAAATACAAATACGCAGCTTTAATAATATTATTTTTTAATAAGTGCACAAATTTTAAGTCATGTTTTATACCAGAGCTTCTGTGTCCACTTTGTGAAGAAATAAATCCCAAAAGAACCCAATATGTATGCTGACATTTAAAAATAAATTACCCTTCCTGTAAAGCTTTATATTATTGTCAGCTATCAGTCTAACCCCAAGTATAGCATTGTGTGCATGTAAATCATACATTATTTTGCTATAACAATCATCCCAAACCAATCAATCTCCATCCATGTAGCCATGTAAAATACTACATGATCCAACACCACAGATCATTTCAACATTAGCCAGTTTGCATGTGCTTTACTGAAGGTCTAGTTTGTCATTTATAACAAGGGAAATAAAGAAAACTAAGGATCCATTTACACTGATAACTGATAAATACTTTACTACAAATATAAATATACACTACATAATCAAAAAACTGGAATGTGAGTACATTTTGAAATCAGGAGTTCCAACATAATGTTCATTTGTCCACTTACAATAAGGCAAGCGTTAGTCTGACATGAAGGGATATTAGCCGCTATTTACAAGGATGCTACATGGAATTAAGCTATCGTTACTTCCACAGATTAACTTACCAAAAAATGTTTTCTTTAATTCAAAAAGCAACCATTGTGCAAGTAAGTGCAGTGCTGAGAACGTTATGAGACATCCTTAATGTACAGATGCACATCTGTGTTTAATCTGGGACAATCAGAAAGGGGGAGAGGAAACGAGAGCTTTGTGATGACATGAGTGCATGAGAGTGAGCGCGAGTGAACAGTCATAAGCACTGGCAAACCATTTAAAAAGGCTTTGTGTCCTTCTCTCTTTAAGGCTTTTGAAGGAACGCAGGCAGCACTCAGCTGTACCTCGATTTAGCTGGAGAAAAATTCAGCACGTCAGCATTAAGTGCTACATTAGTTTAGAGTACCTGTCTAGTACCCAAGAGCCTTTGTGGTGGCAGGAAATCAATTTTTACACCACAATTTTAAATATTTTCCAAAGAAAGCGACGCATATCTAAGAGGTGGCATGCTCCTGTGCTTTTTGAAAAACTCATTTGCACCAGCATAACGTTAGGGAATTTAACCTACAAAGCTAATGCTAATCACATCTCAAACGGTAACGCAGCTCCTCGGAATGGTGGCGACAGGACTTTGTGGCTGTCGGCGCCCGTTCATATGAATGTTTCCAACTTTTCCATCCTTCACCTGAGACGATGAGACGGAGGCTTGGTCACTGATGTCACACAGCTGCATCAAATGCCCTGGGAGATATTTTATCAAGAGATTTCCTTCATCCTTCACGGAAGCGCCTGTTCTATTAATTTTCACATTACACATTTATTTAAGGTAAAATTGACATCAACAGAGCCCCGCCTAGTGACAACCTACTGATGTAAAACCTCCTGAGAGTGATTTAAGGCCAACTAGTGAAAGAAATCAGAGACAGAGAGAGTCATTTCAAGCATCCACCTCCACACGTGACACAGGGCTATATACAGATGGTATGCTGTGATATGCAGTTTGTGGGCCACACTAATAAGCAAGGGAAGTTTTTACAGGAATGGCTAGTCAGCATTTTAGTGAAACACATACAATTCAAGGCCAAGAAAAAAGAAAAAGGGAAAAAGGACATTTGTCAAAAGAAGCAATCAGATATACTTGAATGTAAACACTGATATCAATACCATTCATCTCTTAGGAGAACCTGTTAGAGCACATGCACACATGTACACGCACACAGCCCTCGTTGTGCTTAGGGTGGCGTTTCAGATCAGAGCATCAAATCAGTCAAACACAGTCTGATGTAAGACTGATGGTGAAATTAAAGAAAAGATTGTTATGAGAAGCAAAAAGAATGTGGAGGGCTGCACACACGCACGCACACACGCACGCACGCACACGCGCACACGCACGCACGCACACGCACGCACACACGCACGCACACACGCACGCACACACGCACGCACACGTTCACCGAGCAGAAGCCTGGCTGCAGCTGAAGATCTCAGACGTGAAGGGGAGCTGTACTGTACAGAGGGGTTTCCATGACATTAGAAGAATGGGCGGAGCAAATGAAGGGCCAGTGGGGCCACTGTGTAGAGGCCTTGGCCAATCAGCGTGGGGAGAAGCCTGTTGCTAAGCTACAGCCAACCACCTGTGTCATATCCCATATCTGTGGAGACAAACAGCCAACAAGAATGTCAGGACAGATAAATGTGGATGTGAAGTAAGGAAAACATGAAACAACACAAACTCCACAACAGTGTACACAACACCCAAGACAACAGGCTAGAAGGTTTTCAAGCAAGGCAGATATTCAAAAATGTTGAGACAATATATGCAAAAAGTGAAAACATGAACTTTCTAAAGCTTTGATTGCATTATTATCATCACATATGACAAAAAAGTTGCAAATGTTTGCTAATGAGAATCTAAAACCAGAGAAATTTAAAGGATTTTCTTTTCTTTTGTTTTATGTAAGCTATTCAGACATTCAATTTATAGAGGGACTGCTTATGTTTGGCAACAGAACACCGTCTCGAACATCTAGTAACTCAATTAATCATTTTATTTATGTAGTGTAGATATGTCCCAGCTTGCTGGCTAACCTCATCTGCCTTGCAAATGTTACCGCTAGCGAAAGGTGTGTGGAAATCCTAGTAGCTTACCAAAAACCATTGGCAGCTAACACCATTCATGACAGTAAGTTGTGTATAATGTGGTACTAATTTTAGCTAAATATAAATAATTTAATGGCAAAATGCAGAGATTTATAGCTATCATTTGCTTTCTACAATGATAGCCAAAATTAGTGGGGTTACTTAAGTTACAGCTTGGTTTCTTATTCTTCATATGCCAAATCAAATTTGTTGTTAATTTAGTCATTCTCAGGTTTACAGTATATATACTGCTCTCTCAGCTATTGAGACAATACCAAAACAATTCACATATACAATACATCCATAAATACAACAATACAATATTAATTACAATCATTAATAGTTCAGTATATTATGTGTTGCTCTTGCTAATTAGCCACCCCCACCATTAGCTAATAACTCCCAGTTCTACCATACACATATGGCCATGTCCAGTTTTATAAAATCAAGATGTCCAAAATACCAAACTCAGAGGTAGTCTGTGAAACAATGGGTGACGTCATGGTGGCCATCTCCATCTTTTACACACAGATTATGATCTAAGGTTTTTCAGATTTAACGGAGATCTGTTTTGGAAGGAGGATGAACATGACATAGCTCTGCACAATGTCACATGCAGTGCTGGTTTTAGTGGATGTGTGAAATCAGGAGTCCAATTAAAAGCAGTTTTTTAATGATATTTTTAAGGCTCTAATTCAGATTAAAAAGGTTTAGCATGCTGCTTTTTATAATGCTGAAAGGTTTTATAGGACTGCCTGTAAATATGAATGTTTTCATATACAAAAAAAATAGGTAAAGCTAGATTGTGGGCTTGATTTGCTTTGGGTTGCATTTTGCTTCAGAGGCTCTGTGCTTAACACAGCCTGCTCACATGCATGAATTATCTGGTATCAAAGAACTGTTGTTGACCTTAACAATGCGGTCACTTCCACAAGTGACCATCAGGCCTCTCGATGGATCCATGTCCATGTGAGCGATGTTGTGTTTCCCCTCGTGGAACGTGGCCAGCGGTGTCCGACTACACACACAATGACAGCATTTCATTACTTTCCCTCACTAATCTGGTAAAGGGGTTATATAATGTGAATACTACACAAAATTAAACTCACTCTTCTTCTTTGATGGTTTCAAAGCAGGCATCACACACCCGCACCGGGAACTCAAAGCCCATGATTGGAAACGTAGAGCGTTTGGAGCTACATTTTCCACACACGGCCTTGCCGCACTTCCTGCAGTGGTGCTGCACACAGGAAACAAGCTCATATCACATTGTGACTAATAATGAGGACATCAAAATGCTAAGGACACAGGCATGAGTAACCTACCTGTCTAAGTCCCAGGGTCTTAGTGTCCCACATCTGTTTGATATTCCAGAAGAAAGGCTGCTCACACTTCTGACAAGAGTCGCTGTCTAACCACTGAGGCGCCTGCAGACAGACAGACTCGAAGGCTAACATTACACACACAGAGACACTCGAGCATTCACACAAGGACTAAGATGAAAATACAAAGGAGCGACTAAACTCTTTACCACTGATAGCAACAATCTAATACTAAAACAGTGCACACAGAGAAAACTGGCTTATGATTCAAACCTCTTCTCTCTGCGTGTCCATGTTCCACACTGCGATGCCTCCATCAGCGGAGCATGACACCAACTGCCTGGTCAACTGGAGGTAACGCAGAGCCTGAACGCGCTCGCTAAAGGAGTCAAAGATACAGACAAGACAATACATATCTTAACAACTACAACAATAGTGGGCAAGTGTTCACCTGGTGGACAGAAACACCGGTGGAAACGATTTTCTTTTTTACTACTCTTGTATATGACCGATGTCACTAACAAGGGATATGATCCTCTCAGGGTACGACGACAACAGCCTCACTTGCTGTTCAACCTTTTGCTTGTGAGCGCCAGCAAATCAGATGAAAGTTGGCTTAGAGGGAAAAGGAAGAGAACTAAAACAGCTTGCTTCCCAGAGTTTATGAACTGAAGGCTGCACCACGGCCAAGTATAAGCTGTGTATGGAAACCTATAATAAGCAGAACAGGCCGACATTGATATACAAGTAAACTGGAGGACAGGATAAGGGAAAAAAAGATACAGATCCACAACAGGGTTTAAGACCTGTAGTGTGTCATAACTCTCAGTTTATGGGTGTCTGAGAGATAAATGTCTGCAAATCCTGACAGGGAACAACAGGGTCTTTTGAGACTGGCTCTGATAGGCATCAATGTACATGGGCTTTGTGGATAATTCCTGTACCTGGGAGGTGGTAAAATATGGATGAAGACAGGAGATAAAAATGGTGACAGTGCCTGGGGAAAGCTGCAACTGACACTAGGCGAGACCTGCCTTTGACAAGAGGATGCGGTTACAGAGTGTACTGCACATAGACACTGCTTTGAAAAGGATAAAAACAGGGACGTGGAGTTTTATTCCTGAAGAATTGTTCACATATCAACATCCCATTTTGCGAACTCACTTTGAAGTTGCCACATCTTTGACAAAAAGCAGAATGACAGCAAACTGGGATCCCATGCCTGAATGTAGCGACACTATAACTTACTGATGCCCCTGCAAGAGCAGTGTTCGTCCTTTGCGGCCTCCGATGTCCCACATAATGACACTGTGGTCGGAGGCCCCTGAGAAGAGCAGCCTCTGGACTGGGTCCCACCACAGCGCTCCTACACTACCTGGATGCAAAAGAAAACAGACTCATTATACGTGTTTCCATCTTCTGCCAGGAGCTCAACGGGACACAGGATCATAGTGCGATCTGCTGGCTCCACCCAGTGCCCGCTGGGAGAAATGCAGCCAGTTCCAAGTAACATTTTACAGCACGACTCTCTTAATGACTCCAGCTATAATTTAATTATTTTGTCTAATAAGCACGCACTACCACTATAACATATTACATATTTCTGTGCTATTGAGCCAAATGAAAGCCACATAGAGCAACTTCTAACACCAGTAATATCAGCGATGACTCTGACATTACATCTGACCTTTATGTTGTCTTTTCCAATTTTAATGGAACATAATCTCCATTAAATATTTGGGGCTTGTGCACAGTTGGAGCCCACCTATTAATATGTATCACCATCTGTCCAATTACCATGTGTAACCATGAGCACCAGAGCACAGGTGCAGATCAAAGAGAGCAGTAACAAGATTCAGACTGGTTTAATGCAAGCGTTTGTATTTTTAGGTTTTCTAAAATCGTGTGATTTGCCTGTTCCACCTGGCTATACCACAGGCAACATAAATACCACAGGCAACATGTTTGAGGCTAAAAATAAATAAATAAATAAAAACAGGCTCTGAAAGGATCACATATTTTACTCAGTGCCTGGTTATCAAAAACCCAAAGAAGAACGCAGGGAAGTGTTTGTCTCACACAGCCAAGTGTCTCGGCAGTTCAAATTTGTTTTGCGATCCATTTTCTTGGCACAGCTACAAGGACACTGAGCCCCTTGACTGCAAATCTCATCTGAGTCACAGATCATCGTTTGCATTTGCATCTTGATAGAAACTGAGTCATTCTCCCATCTAAAAAGCCTCAAGTGGCCACTGAGTGGTTCTGATGAGCATGAAAACATTGCAGCTGCCAAGCCTCAACTAAAACAAGCAGTTACAGGAACTTGTAGAGCTGCAAGTGAGAAGGCATTTTCCACCAACACCATCATCATCAACCAGCCAAAACAAAACTGCTGTTGAAATGAGAAACAAAGGTCTGGCTTTTGCAGCTTAGTGCTATACTCAACATGATGAATTTTGCCTCTTAAAGGCAAACAGCAGCAGTAGTGCTGTAAACTATGACGTGTTTACATCTTCCGTTAGCGCCACTTCTGTTTTTTTAAACTTTGTTGATCATTCTTTCCGTTTACCTGCCTGCTGTGAGTGGACATGTTTCTTGTCATTGTTTCTGAGTGGACTGAAAGAAAACATCATGCAACAACAGGTCAAACACAAGATGGCACAAACAATGCAGCTCCACAAACAGCTGCTGACAGTTTAGTCTGTCATCTAGCAGTGGGATCTGATTGTCTGGTTCTGCTGGAGGTTTCTTCCTGTTAAAAGGGAGTTTTTCCTTCCCACTTTCGCCAAGTGCTTGCTCATAGGGGGTCATCTGATCGTTTGGTCTTTACCTGTGCAAAGTGAACCAACTTAGCCCCTCCCCGCCTCAAGGAGCAGATCATCTTACGTTACACGGGGAGACGTCTCTGCCTCACTCTCACTATAGCAAACTGGTGTTTTAAGCATATGTAAACATGGTGAACTATTGTGTGAGACCAGTTTTCCTGAGAGGAAGAGAAATGGAACTTGTTTTTGTGCCAGCTGCAGCTGTCATAGAACAGGAAGATTACATTCCTGGTGATATGATATGAGTTCTGGAGGGGATTTTGAAGCCAGGCCTGTATGATACTGACAGCTGGTGCGGTTCCTTCTGTGCAAGCAGCTGCGTCACTTACACCTCCAGGAGCAGCTTCCCGTACTGGTGCCGGGGCGACCAACGGTCAGTGATTGATGAGAGATTCAGCTCAAGAAAAACACCAACTGTTCGCCATAAGTCACTAATTTGGAAGTCCAAATTAGTGGGTATCACGAATTAAATAATGTGAATCAATAAGAGCTGATACTGACGTTTTAGTTTCTGTATAGCTTCTATGCTCAATACAATACTTATATCCCAATATATGAGCACTAACCTTACAGTACCATATAGGAAAACAACATAAGCCAACGTTTTTCCATTTTTTCTCCTGATCCAGGTCTCCTTGATGTCTAACAAGTTAATAATTATAAGATTGTGATTTACATTTTCAAAATCTCAACCACACTTCTGTTACATGAAAGCTCTGTGGTTTTTGATTGTGCTATAAGCTCTGTTACAATGAATGACTTTATCTCCAGTTCTCCAACGGTTAGATCTCCAGACTGCAAGATGCTCTTAAAGCTTGTGGATGCATATTAATGAGAGATAACCCAGAACTCCCCTAAAAAGTCGCAAACAAGAAGGACCTCGAGAGAATATCATCACACATGAGAAATTGGTAGGAAAAAAAATAGCTCTAACAAGAAAGAAGGCAGGAATTATGTATTTAATTGCTGCATAAATGTTGGTATTTGGTGCCTGTTTATCAAGGAAGCGACATTTGTGTGTATCATGTATGCCTTTACCTTCATGACCCTTCAGTGTAGTGATGGTGGAGTACGTCTGCCTCTCCAGCTTCAGCAGAGTGATCTGTCCTGAGTGGTCGCCTACGAAGGCGTGCTGTGTCTCTTGATCGTATCTGAGCGAGGAGTCAGGGCTTGAACTGGCTTTACATGTTACTGTACTCTAAATGCGGCACAAACACTCAGTGAATAAAGGATACTGCAGGCAGGAGGCCCAGGCAGTGAAGTAGTGTCTCCCCAGCATGCTGCCACTCTGGGTGCACATCCAGCTCACACTCTTATCATGGCCGGTACTCACCACCCACTCACTCTCCAGGGAGAAGACCATATCTGACACGCGGTTCTGGTGGGCTGCAAAGAACAAATACATAATAAGTGCTAAAGAGCAACAATGCATGTAGATGACAAAAAGAAGACTTTGCTCTCTTTATGTCCTGATCCAATCACAGGTTCTGCTTAGTGTTCCTGTAATCCACACAAACTAATCCTTTCAAACAATTTGCAGTCAACATCTCAGCCTTTGCAAACAGCAGGGGCTCAACTACTCCTGTTGTACTGTATTGTTTCAAGCTGGCCAACAGCTACATTCAAATAAATCACAATACATCCCACATACTATGTGCCCATGTGTAGGTTTTTCCAAGTATATTGAAAGCAGCACTGATTAATGACAACAGAACATAAACTAACTATAAAGTGGACAGAGGAAAGGTATTATAAGAATATATATGGCCTACTTTCACAACATTAACCTGTGTTGCAATTTCAAGGGCTTCTGGTAAGGTTAAGATTTCTGGATCTTTTATTCCAGATGTTTTCTACACCTTCTCTAAAAAGGAAAAAAATCTTTCCAAATGACCTGGGTGAGATGAGTGAAATAACCATTGTGTGCTTATTTAAATCACCGAAAAAATAAATATGGTGACTACAGCAGCTTTAAATCAAATCACTTTGTCACTAATCAGAATAATTGCCTTGCCGTTGTTTTCTTCTGTTAACTAGTAAAGTTCACATGTACAGAACTGAATAATCAAGTGTCAGTGTTACCAAACCAAAGACAAATAAAATAAAAAATAGTCTCAAACTCCTCTTCTGAGCCTGAATTATGGAATTAAATTGTGTGTGTGTTTTTTATAGACGTCACAGTGAAGCTAACCTTTGGAACTTTTGAATGTAAAATGCCATAACCTTCTCATTTATTACTGCCATTATCTTTATGGCTGATAGAAATGTAAAAAAACATCACTGATAAAGTTCAGAAGGGAGTCATATTTGCCTAATCCAAGTGCACATGACCACATGACTAATTCTCTCCGTTACGATCCATTTTGTATTTCCTGTGTCTGTATTCCTTTTTACTGCATTTGTCTTGTCTGCATAACTAGAGGAACATTTTTATCCCCTAAATCCATCTAGCTTACTTACTTAAATCTGTAATCTGTGGGTGACTTGAGTGCTGGTGATGTAATGGCTATTACATCTATTATGACTAATAACGACAAATAAGAATGTCCTCACCAGGTCACGGTGAACACGCTCACATAATAAATGGAGCACAGACTTTGCTAAGTAATTAAACTGAAGTCCAGAGAGGAAAGATTTTTCTAAAATCATTCTTTTACAAAAATTTAGAAGCAGACTGAACACGTGCTGGCATAAAGGACATTAAAAGAGGTCAATGTTCTCTCGTGTACAGCTCTAAGGAAATGAACACTGCCTGCCAGTGATGATGCTAAACTGTGCATGGCTCACAGCCCTCGTGTATGTTTAAACTGACTGTGGGTTTCTGTCGCTGCCGGTCAGGCTTGGCAGCTTGATTGTGCTACGAACGGTAGAAACCAGATGGACCATTATAGTGGTGACATGTGCTGGCTCAAGCCTGCTGAGGAGGATAAATAGCTGCTGGTACAGTCACAGGAACAAGCAACAGTGGCAGTATAACAGCAGATGGAACAACAGTTTAAAGGTGCCTGTGTTACAAAGCAAAATAATTTTCTGAAACGCCTTCCACTTGGATCTATTAGCACAGTTTAAATGTGCATTTGTGGAGGGCTGACCTTCTGACTTCTTATTGCGATGAAGAAATATTTTGTGGGTGATGCTATTTGATAATACGCCGGTAGTTTTCAAACCACATGTCATCAGTTCTCTTTTTGACAGCTCATTTGCAGCATCTCTGCAACAGATGACTCACTCAGGCTAAGGGCTGTTGACATCCCGGACCGGCTGAAGCCATGGCACATTTGTAATACTGTCTTTTTCCTTCTCTCTTAATCTGGTGAGTCATGCACCAACCAAGAAAGTTTTCAATTTCATTTCCTCACTTATTAACCTCCCAGCTGTCAGTCAGGGCCTTTGCTGTGTCATAGTGTCCACTAACCGGAAACTGACAAGTTCTTTTTTACAAGCTTTTTGAAGTTAGAAAAGGGAAATGGATGTGTAAAAAGTACAGACAGAATGAAGTAGCAATCATTTGACAACTTTTTATTTGGGGGGAGGGGCAACCAATCTAAATATCAACAGTACTGATGCCAATGCTGATATTGGTATCGAATCAATACTAGGATCGATGTTTTAGTTTCAGTGGCTCTTCCATGTTCAGTACTTGCTCTCGTTCATCAGAAAGTAGACATGTTTGTGCAAACACTGCTCCTCTCACATAAACGCATGCTGCTCCCCCTGTGTGGCTGTTCTGTGACTGTCAAACCACACAAAGTGTGTTTTGACAAGTCATTAGCCGATACCCTGGATAAGCCTCCTTTCTGCAACTTACAATGACCAGAATTTTTAAAAATGGACTTAATGTGTTATTCATTATGACCTGAAATGAATAATTTAGGTCATAAAATCATCAGGAAAGTTTTCACACAAGTCAAGGCTGAGGGCTGTTGTCCCATAGACTTCTATACGACCGGAAGACCTTTTGACCTGTTCACCTGCCAGGTAATGCCCCTGGTTGCTATTAAAAAGAATGCAGTTTTAAGGCACTTCATCATTGCCTTTGATTTTGATATCATCTGTGGTTTAATAATCCACCATGTAGAGTTAGGCCTTTTAATTTAAGTCGAATAACTCGCTGATTAGCCTCGTTCGTACACTCAAACTGGACTCTACTTCTTCTATTAATTTTCTTATCTCATGATCTCACCTGGATACGTTTTCACGTGGTTCATCTTGTTGAAGTCTTCGGAGATGAGAAACTCCTGCAATTCGAGCAAACAAACGGAAATAACTTCAAATCAAATAACTCTTCAAACCCTCTAAAGCCAGATTCAACAAAGAAAATATGAAGCCAATGTGTCTGGGTTAGCTGCACTCACCACAATCGCCCCATTGTCCTGGCCTATGAAGATGCGTCTGCTGTCGTGGTGATACGACATGCAAGAGCATGGAGCTGGAAAGAAGTGAAGACATTCACAGTGAGCGGGAACGTCACACACAGGGGGTTTCATTATATGGCTGTAAATGCAGTCAGAGCAGGGGGGTAATGGATGATAATAACTGTCAGCAGTTTCTGAATGTATTTGTTTAATTCTGACTTCAGCTGTAGCTTTAAATTATTGAAGGATTCAAATTAGAAAAAGGTTCTTTCATAAAGACCAACTGCTATTAATTCATGCCTCTTTTGTTGTGAGGACAGGAAAGATTGCATCAAGATGAAATCGAGCAGTAGATGTCATCCCTCTAAAATTCCTCCCTGGCAACATCGCCGTCTCTCCAACTTCAAAAATGTGCAACACAGACACGTTCATGAGCAGTGCAACCCTTCTGTCATCAGGAAAAACCTCAACCTGATCTGATTACAAAGCAGCAGCGATAAAAATGCACTCGTAAGAAACGCACGAAGATATATGAGAATATTTGATCAAAAACAACATTTGTGGCACTCTTGATTCTGCAGCAGTTAAGTACGTGGCTAATGGGAGAAACAGCCATGTCAAATAAAATCAGTAACTGATGACATTTCAAAGTAGTCTCACCCAAGCGTGATACAGCGTTACTTACAGGAGACTGTATGGTAGATGCTCGGCCAGTACTGACCACTGTCTCTCTTCAGCCACACACGGATGGTTCTGCAGGAACATGTCACACAGGTGAACATTTAGTGTACTCTCCAGTGTTCAGTTAACTACAAGCAACGACATTCTCATTCTGTGCAGGACGTATTTTTATGACATTCAACTTAACACCTTCCATGGAGGAAAGTACTCTGTACCTTAACAAGACCTGACTGTCAGAAGTAATATTAATACCAGAAGTGATGCCGACTTCATGCTTGACTGAGATCACAAATAAAACCACATTTTAGAAGAGGTGACTCAAAGCTAAACTTAGCATTAAACCACTTCTTGGATCTTCTTTTGGCCTGCTAACATCTGGAACCTGATTTTAACAAAAGCACTTCTAATGCAGATTTGGTTGTGATTCTTTCCACTGTAACACCTTATGACTCAGTCATTAAACGTGCCATTTACATAGGAAACTGGGCAGCTTTGCGGAATTCTTGTGTACTGTTGCATCTTCAGCACTTTTCATTTCAAGTGCAGTCAAAGTACGCTTCCTACAGCCTTTTTCTTCCATTAAAAAGGGAATTCAGTCAGTTTCACTTACTAGCAAGTAACGTGTCTGCGAGGAAAAGAAAAACAGACATGAAACACAGCGTCTGTGCAGCTTTCTTGAAGGAACCCGTTTTAACACCCCACAACTTCTCCTTTTCATATCTACTGTATAACATTGTTCGTATTAAGTGAGTTCCCTTTACTCTGAAGGCGGATGTAGTCTCTTTTTTAACACTTGTGACCAAGCATGCATTTTCTAAAATCTAACATGTCTAAGTGTGGTATTTAATGTCCACAAAAAAATTTTTTTAAAAAAAATCACAGCCACTTCGATTACTACAAAAATGGGTTCCATTTCGACAAATAAATCCTCGAGCACTTGAAGGCATCATTTTGACAGTAATGTTTACTGTACTCGGTAGCAAGCTAGCTAGCAAGCACAACATTGCAAGCAGTTTTAATATCTTTACACATATTAAGCCACGAGTAGTAATAATAAACGGTACATACTGAACAAAAGAAGCTTTATTTTTACATTTCGTATTAGGTCCATTACTATTATCCAGAGATTTTCCGGATTGAACTCAGATTCTGAGTGTATTTCTATCCCCACACCCTCCTACGCTCTCCTCAGCTATTATGAAGCCTAGAAAATATATATTCTCAAAGCGATACACGTTGCTTATTATCTTTATTCTGTCCTTCTTAAGCCAGTGCACCAGGTATTATGAGTCTAAAGACCAGTAAATATACCGAGCCCCCGCTAGCTAGTATTAGGCTACACTTAGCTTGCCTGGTAAACATACCTGTCCTCGCTAACCGTGATTACTCCATCTTCTTTGGGTATTAAAACGGCTGCATTGACAGCGTCCGAGTGTCCCTCGATCTTGTTCAACAGAACCGGTCTAGCTGTCTGGGGCCTCGAGTGAATCTCCGCAGCCATGGTTTTAACTAGCCAGGAGTGTTTTCCTTCAGCTGATTTTCCTCCTTACTCGCCAGTAAAGGAGGATCAGCTGACACCCGGAGCCGCTGTCGGGATCACCGTAATAACG